TATTTGTTGTATTTTCCCCCAAAAGTAAACACACAATAAAACAAAACAACGTAGTCCAGACATTTTTGTCGTAAGAATCCATTTTAATATTTTATTATTTAATACAATGTATTTGAATTTGCAGTTTTTCCGTAGATGTGCCTAAAACTAACGTGGAAAGAGAAATAGATAATGTACATAAGGGTCGGGCTGATAGATCTATTTACAAGAGTCTAAAGACAAACGTTCGAACGTACAACTAACTGTGGATGAAGTGGATGAAGTGGAGGAAGTGGATGAAGCGGGCTGGTGGACGGAATCATGGACGGATGGACGGAAGGTTTGCTGGATATATATAGAGGGATGGGTGTAAAGAATAATGCACAGTTTGCTGGCTGGTCGGCTTTACCGATAGATGTAGTGGCGGATGTTATTGTGGATGAATGAATGTGTACATACATTGATAGAGGAAGGGAAGAATGAATGAATGTAGGAGTTGATAGATGAATAGATAAACTAACAAAATCATAATATGTCCAATTTTCATAACAGTATGCATTTCGTTTTTGTGCGTATCCAGAGACATTATTATTATTATTATTATTATTATTATTATTATTATTATTATTATTATTATTATTATTATTATTATATTATTATTATTATTATTATTATTATTATTACTATTATTATTATTATTATTATTATTATCTTTTTTTAACAACGGGTCTGTTTTTATTTTCTTTTTGCATAAACTGTACATGTACTTACATAATATCTCACATGCCACTAATTCTTGCTATTTTATCTGATTCCCATTTGGGAATTAAGGTAAGTGTTTCGCTTGACCATTCTCAATCTAAAAAAAACAACCTCACCACTTTTGGGGGGGACACTGTTCACAATGAAATAGTTAAGTCATTCTCAAGCTTCACACGCTCTTCAGTTTTTGATTTTCTTGTTACGGAAATAAATGAGTAACTATTTGATCTTACAGGTATGGTTTCAAGGCCATGGAAGAAAATACAATTTTCTTACAAAAACTTTTTGAAACATTTCTTTTTTCAACTGTCATTATGGTTTCAGGTTGCTATTTTAATCACACTTTTTTAATGCATAGGTCAAACATGAAAGTTGATCTAGATCGTGTCTGCTGGGTCTTAAAATACTAACATTATAAAATAAGTCAGTCAAAAGGGAAAATACTAACATTATAAATTAAGTCGGTCAAAAGGGAAAACACTAACATTATAAATTAAGTCAGTCAAAAGGGAAAATACTAACATTATAAAATAAGTCGGTTAAAAGGGAAAATACTAACATTATAAATTAAGTCGGTCAAAAGGGAAAATACTAACATTATAAAATAAGTCGGTCAAAAGGGAAAATACTAACATTATAAAATAAGTCGGTCAAAAGGGAAAATACTAACATTATAAAATAAGTCGGTCAAAAGGGAAAATACTAACATTATAAAATAAGTCGGTCAAAAGGGAAAATACTAACATTATAAAATAAGTCGGTCAAAAGGGAAAATACTAACATTATAAAATAAGTCGGTCAAAAGGGAAAATACTAACATGGGACAAAGGCAGGAAATGTCTACACGTAACTACAACACATTCCAGAATGATCACAAGAAAGACATACATGAAGTTTTGACAGAGGCACACAAAAAATATTACACAACATAAAGAGAGAGAGGGGCAGTGAGGAGAGAGAGAGAAAGAGAGAGAGAGAGAGAGAGAGAGAGAGAGAGAGAGAGAGAGAGAGAGAGAGAGAGAGAGAGACAGACAGACAGACAGACAGACAGACAGACAGACAGACAGACTGACAGAGGCGAAGACAAAGACAGAGAGAGGGAGAGAGAGAGAGAGAGAGAGAGAGAGAGAGAGAGAGAGAGAGAGAGAGAGAGAGAAGCAGACTAAGAAAGAGAGTGGTGTTTAGAAAAGGGGGGGGGGGTGAAAAAGCAACATACATTAGTATTGCAAGAAGAATTGTCTGTCTGTAAAATAAAAAAAAAGAAGCGAAATTAATTATCAGTCTAAAGGTTCCCCCCATCTATCACTGTCATTGCCCTAGTCTCTCTCTGCTGATGAGCTATGATTTTAAAGACATGAACGGACTGGGCCACGCTCACAATCATACGGCGGCGCGCGGTGTCAGAGAGCAGACTAATGGCCGTGGATACCAGACGGCTTTGGAAAACATTGGTTCCGCTATTCATTTCAGATCTTCTGTCGCGGACACTGTCGATTCTGATTAAAACATCGCTTTTTCAAGAATTGTCTGGGGAGTACGAAATAAAGGAAAAGTGGCCTCGTTTCTGGTTCTCACTTACACAAAGTCACTAATGCGAAATGCGAAATGCGAAATTCTCCAGGTTCAACGCCCCTTGCAACCGCAGTAAGCTTATTAAAGAGGCAGGACCTCCAGATTTAACGACCATCTTCGATAAAAACTCAACCAAATGGGGAAATTCACAAGACAAAAAAAGAGAAAAGTTCGTATAAAGTACTTTCCCAACAACGCAACGTTGGACCGAGCTTAGCTTCGAGTCAATGAACCCGCAATCTTACAATTACAGATCCGGATGTTTAACCATTGAACTACGCATTCCACCACGAAGCGACGAAAGAGGGAGATGTTGTTAAGGTGGAATATGCATATGCGTAGACTGATTTGATTGTATGTCACCTAGCTCGACTTGGACAGTTGACACAGGGCAAAAGCAACGCTTGAGACTAATATTCTAACCTAAAAAACCGGAGATAAAATCGATCAATTTAACAATATTGTTATGAGTTAGTAATAGTGAGTCGTGAAATCTTAAGGCAGTGGGTTTTTTCTGTTAACCTGCTTACTATGGATGTTACGCAACCGATCCCAATCTTGAAAACAAACCGTATGAAATCTATCCATATGGCTCAAAAAATATTATTTGACGAAATGTCCACACATTTGGTGAGAGTGTACAGCGCGCAGTGTTTATTACAACCTTCTATACGGTATACTCTTCAGATGTACTTCAAACAACTAGTGTTTTGGGAATTCTGCCATTATTATTTGTAAAATAATTTAACTTAGATTACATAAGAATCCTTTGTAAATCAAATTAGTTAAAAGATTTTTCTAATTTTCAACTGTGTGAAACTGTGTATGCAGTTATGGTTTCCGGAAGATTCCATGCATATAGGATAAAAAATAAACATGTTGGCGGAAAACTGCACTATAACATCGTTAAGAATATAAAAACATGGTCATTTGCAAAATGTTGTCAAAGGCTTGGCTATATTCATGTTTTATGTTGCAATTTACAACACTGATAAAAGGGTTTCATATTTTTCTGTCGTTTTTTTCATAGAAACAAACTTAGCTTAACTTCCCTAATTAGTAAACATCTCTTATTTTATAAATATTGATCCAAAATCAACTTTTTCAAGGAGCATCCACCATCCTTTCGTGTGGAGTTGTACTTACGCCTTGGACACTAGGTGATACTGTACCGTCCCCTTCCCCCTTCCCCACCGCCTTTTCTTTGTGTATCTCTTTGGACATAAACAAAATTAATGGTTAAGTTTTGAACGTAGCTCCCTATACAAATCACAATAACTGTATTAGCCTGAGTCTATTCCAAAAGCCCAAGGCGTGAATTTTTTTTTCTACAGGGAAGCGTTGGCCTCCCTCTGGAATAGTTAAAGGGAAGCGTATAGCAGAAATAGTAATTAGTAGTGAATACCCTCAAGCATAGGCCACGTCCTATCAGTCCTGATCCCTCCCCCTCTTCTCCCTCTCACCCTCTCTCTCTCTCTCTCTTTCTCTCTCTTTTTCTCGCTCTCGCTCTCTCTCTCTCTCTCTCTTTCTGTCACTCTTTTCTTTTCTTTTTCTCTATCTCTTTTTCTTTCTC